CATAAAACAACATGTGTACTTCTGTTTCATGAGAAACTATTTGTTCTGTAAGCCTTCACCTGAAATACAATAAAATATAACAAAAAAAGAGAGAGAGAGAGAGATTGACTCAATGAACAAAATCATTTATCTGACAACCTCAGCTAAACTCATAGAAACATTTGACTGCACTGGTTTCCAAACTGGCATTATAATTCTTTTCCCCCTCTGCCCCACCCCGGCCAGGCTACAGCTCTAGTCCACATCTATCTAGATGGCTCTGTCTTGGTGACTCATGGTGGCTGCGAACTGGGACAAGGCCTTTACACCAAAATGATTCAGGTGAGGTAAGTGTCCATCTTCTCCACTGTAGAAGAATATAGCATCTTACAATCAATCTAACAGCTTTTTCTCTTGCTGAGCAGGAGAAAGACCATCACAGTAAGCATACAGATCAATTGTAAGAGTTATCTTCGTTTCAGGAATGCAAAAATGGAGGAGAGTGATGGCGGGGGGTGTTAGAATTGAGAAAATATATTATTCCTCCCACATACAAAAGAACCAAGCCCATCACAGAAGGACAAACACTGTTATGATCCCACTTATATAAAATAGGCAAATGTATCCAACCCAAGCTTATTAGTGGTTACCAGGGGTGGGAGGGAGGGGGAGAGAGGAAAACATTGCTTGGGGCACTAAGTTTCTGTTAATGGTGGAATAATTTGGAAAAGGATAGTAGTAATGGTGGCACAGCATGATGAATGTGATTAATGTCATTGAATTGTACCTGTAAAAATGGTTGAATTGTCAAATCTTGTGTTATATATATTTTTGCCACAATTAAAAAAAATAAGCCCATAAGTCTTCTGAAAAATAGGATTCCAGTTTTAAAAGATAAAATGCTTTCAAGCTCTATAGCAGCTGCTCAAAGCAATATGTCATCATTCAAATCCTCAATTAGAAGAAATGAATGCATTTAATAGGATGAGAAATTGTGTTCTTATTATGTGTGCTAATTCAAAGGAGTGTTTTTAAACTGTTGACAGAGCAAGAGATTATTTGTGGTAGGAAGTTTACTTTTTTTTTTTAAATGTGAAATAAAAATCTGTTGAATATGACATTTGAATGAAAAATATGTGGGAAATAAACCTTCACTCCAATGTGAGACAGAAGATGCTTTCATTAAGGACAGAATATTATTTAACAGCGTACTCAGAATTAGGAAACCACAAAAGTCCACAGGCCCTTCTATGAAAATATCTTGTGTACTTTGCAACAAAACCCTTCAGTCCGCAAAATGTCCCACAAAGGAAACCGCAGACAGACAGGCATACAACATAATCTGCTGAATTGTCTGTATACCTCAAAGAGAAGATGAAGGTGGAACAGGAAGACCAAGGCCTCACTTGCCGCCAGGTATCTCGTGTCATACTAAACTAGATGTCCCAGAGTAACCATACTGCCACACGGCTTCTATAAACTGATGTAAAAGAAAGCACAGAAGAGTTAGATTGGCAAAAAGGAGTGCATCTCTTACAATCCCATTTAAAATCTTCAAGCACATCAATCTACATACAAAACCCAAGGATGCTATCTTAAATGTTTGGCAGTTGTTAACTATCTGCACGTCAGCCCCAGCTCCTGGCAACTCCATACACAACAGGATCAGACTATTGTGATCCAGAAGGTTTTCATTAGCTGATTTTCAGAAACAGATCACCAGGCCTTTCTTCCTAATCTGTCTTCACCTGGAAGATCTGCTGAAACCTGTTTAGCATCACAGCAACACACAAGCCTCTACCAACAGATGGGTGGTGGCTGCACATGAGGTGCATTGTCTGGGAATCAAACCCAAGTCTCCCACATGGAAGGCAAGAATTCACCACTGCCCCCATTAGGAGGATAGCCAGGTTTTATAGTCAGTTCTAAACAGAATTTAAAGGCATTCCGTTTAGGGGCTTAAAGTCAATGAAATAAATTTATGTCTCTTCTGCTTCGAGTAGGTGGCTAGTAGAGAACTGAACATCCCCCAGTCGTACATACACTTGTCTGAAACAGCACAATCACCGTGCCCAACGCCTTCTTCACAGCAGGGTCAATGTTGACAGACACCAACGGGAAGGCCGTGCAGGTAACTTTTCTTTCCATTTCTCACAGTCACCCAATGACAGTGCTGGAAGGGACCTTGTCCTACCCCTTTTTATATCGTCTATCTTGAGAAGATAGATGATAATTGTTGAAGCTAGATAATGGGTCCGGGATGGGGGGCAGGGGTTATACAATTCTCTCTAGTGTATGTTTGAAACTTTCTGTAAAGGAGGAGAAGCTAGAAAAATGAGTACTTGGCATTTGGAGTTTTAAAATAGGAGGAGACAACCCTACCAAGAAATATAGGTGAGAGAAGTCCCCAAAGGAAGGAATTCAGAAGGTCACAAAAGAATGACAAATGTTTGCTGCAATGTCTTCCTATCTTAAAGGACAAACTTATCTCAGGAGACAGTCGAACTGTCAAATCTACAACTGTGCACGGGAGTGTGGTGGTCAAGGCATGATAAGGGGCAGGGTATCTGATGTTTGGACAGGCCTGGGAGCTCTAGGATGTATGTTTGCCTTGTATGTGGCACTCTTGTGGAAGGCATCCATATGTAATGAGGTTGATCATTGAAAACTGAAGGAGCCAGCATAAATGGGTCTCGTGCAGGGCTGGATTACCCAATAAGCAAGGTACACCCAGGCCCAGCTGTGCCTTCCCACCAATCTGCAGTGCACAATGGCACCTGTACCCCACCACGTCAACAATAGGGTGAAACCCATGTGAAATTGCTCATTCCTGATTAGCAAGTAATTACAAGCCCATGTGTACTTTGCTCAAGCTAGCGCATACCGTGCTTACTGGTTAATCCATCCTTCGTATGAAAACAGGTATCTCCCTCACACATGAGGAGCCACAGACCATTTCCCCAAAAGGAGGTGACAGAAAACAAGAGGCAGAGGCCAAGAGGGAGAATGTGGGGCATTCTGAGGCTGAGATGATATAAGTTAGGGCAGAGTCCCCAGACAAAGGAAGAGGTTCAGAAGAAGGTTCAATACGGCAGGATCCACAAGTGGATTTTTTTTCCTTCAATGGGTTTCCATATGCTACTCAAGTTTAAGAAACCCTACCTAGAGAAGTAGGAAGCAGATTCATAAAATTAGCAGCCCTCATTTCAATTGATTTAAATGTTTAATGTTGTAAGTGGATTTGTATTTAAATTAAGAGTGAAAGTCAGGGTGAGGTCCGCCGACACCCATGGTCAGCAGGCATATTCTCAGGGATCCAAGAATTGACCACAGTAATTTTCAATTTTAGTTTCAATGACAATTTTTTTTAAATTAAAATAAGCACATTTTATTGAACACTTATTTATAAAGAATAACCACTTTATAAGTGGACTATTTCCATAAGATCTCTCTGCATTTGAGACCAAGAAGGGTACTCTGCGGCAAGACAAGAAAAGAGCAGAGATGGGCTTCATACATAAATCATGTTTTCTTGCTTGGTGATGAGCAGATGATGGCAAGATTTAAAGCGCAACTGAAGATCTCGTGGCAATTCAAAGAAAAGTGACAAGAAATTGCTCATCAACTGGCAAGCAATAGGCATGTTGAACTCTAAAGAAGTGTCAATACTATTTCCACATTCAAAGCTGCAGTATAGCTTCGGAAAAACATCCTCAATCAATTAAATTAATGTTATTTCAAATTTTGTTGGTATACAGTTTGGTGTACAGCTTTGTCATTTTGTTTTAGTTTTATAAAAGAGCTATAACTCTAAGGTGACTCTACCTAGCTTGACGTTAGTACATGTTTAAACAACATCATAATAAAAATAATTTTAAGTCGATGCTGCAGGATCCACAAGTGTATATATTTTTTCCCTCAATAAGTTTCCATACGCTACTCAAGTTTAAGAAACCCTACCTAGAGAAGTTGGAAGCAGATTCATAAAATTAGCAGCCCACATTTCAATTGATTTAAATATTTAATGTTGTGCCTTTTTTTCTGATGTAATTTCAAATATTTATTTTTTAGAATGCCTGCCAAATTCTCATGGCCCACCTTCAGCCTGTCATCAGGAAAAATCCTCAGGGGAAATGGGAGGACTGGGTGAGTGTTCTCTTTAGCATCCCCACCAGAAAAGGGCAACTACATCCAGATGTGCCGGAGTCCTAAATGATCGGCTGCTTGTCCGTTCAAGAAACAAAGCATTTATTAACATTCACTTCTACTGTTCCAATAGGGTAAAAGAAATGTCTGTGTTCATGGAAAGTTGACTTTATTTCAGAGCCTAATTTCTCACAGAATATGTTAACAGCAGGGGCTCTTGCGTAAAGCGCCCCTGGGGTTGCTGCTCCAGCTCTGTCACTACTGGCTCTGAGGGGCAAGTCATTACCCCCTCAGTGCCTCAGGGCTTGGTTACAATGGAAATAATAGCAGTCCTAATATCAAAGGAGTACTCTATGACTGGACTCCCTGGGTGGCGCAAATGATTAACGTGCTGGGCTGCTAACTGAAATATTGGAGGTTCAAGTCCACCCAGAGGCACCTTGGAAGAAAGGCCTGGTGATCTACTTCCAAAAAATTAGCCACTGGAAAAAACCCTATGGAGTGCAGTTCTATTCTGACACACATAGGGTTTGCCATGAGTCAGGGGTGACTCAATAGCAACTGAGTTTTTTTACTCTATGATTAATAAATATTATTATTACAGTTACCATCATTATTATTTTTATTCCCCACCCCTATCTACTTTACTTTGCTCCAGCAGGGAAGCTGATATAGTTATATAGTGAGATAGCTAATCAAATTTTTTGGAACAAGGCAAGGTACAAATACACATACCCATGTGCACCTATGTACGTAAGTACATAAATATGTCATAGCCCCCTCCCCGACTTAACGGGCTGAAAAGGTAAAAAATAATGAACTCACAGTGTGCAACCCCCCCCCCCAAAAAAAAAAAACAGGGTCTCAGAACACAGCTATGAGCTGCCTTTAAACCCCGCCTTTGAAAAGCATGACCTGTAACTTCCACATAGTCTCCCTTGAAGTGAACGTGAGTGCGGAGCTTGGTGCAATGAGGAGGCAAGTCCAGCAGAGAAGGCAGTTTTCATTACTTTTCCCAAACTTATATTTCTTTGTAACTAATCATCTTTTGCAGATTGCAAAAGCCTTGGAAGAATCCATCAGTCTCTCAGCTACTAGATATTTCAAGTAAGGAATGTTTTTACTTTGACTTAAATCATACATAGACAGGGGTGACATTTAAAATTCTTAACAGCCAGTACAGTAAGAGCGCTGATCAATTTAAGCAGGGCTTGGCTGTGCCTGTTGTCAACCCTTGAGTGGCTGTATCATGGGTGTAGGGAAGGGGTTCTAGGGGAGGGCCAGGAGACTGAGGGGTGATCCAGAGGCTCCTTGGGACAGCAGCTATTTACCAGCTAGGAGGGACACCGTAGCTATCTACACACACTCTGACCTGTCCCAGTAACTGAGCACTGAAGGGTAGGGGTCAGATACCTACAAATGGATCTTCTTCCGTATCTATGGTGGTTCTCTTAGAATCGTGATCACAGTCCCCCAAGCAGAAGAGGGAGGGAAGAATGGCCACAAGGATGGGAGGTCTTAAGCCATGGGGTGTGGACGCTGCCAGCAGCCACAGCGTGGAGGCCCTTCTACTCTCTTCATCTCTAGGGCCTCGTGCAGAGAGGGGTAATCAGATACCTAGTGAAGGAAGCACTTTTTCCTCTTCATGCCTAATTTCTCTTCTCAGGGGCTACCAGACAAATATGGGCTGGGAGAAGGAGGAAGGTGAAGCATTTCCGTATTTCATTTATGGAGCAGTCTGCTCTGAGGTTGAAGTTGACTGACCGGAGCTCATAAGGTAAAGAGTGGCATTTGTATTCCTCGTCTTCATGTTGTAAACACAAGCTCTAAATCCAGTGATGTGTTATCTATGCTGTAAATGATAATCAACTTGACCCTTCCACTGGAAGAAACAGGGAAGAACTATAATTCTAGTAAAGAGCTATTTTAAATAAATAATATTTTTCATCGCGTATTTTCTCTTGGTACAGCTCCTGAGAACTGACATATTCATGGATGCTGCCTTCAGCAAACACCCAGCCCTTGACATTGGACAGGTGCGTGACAGATACCAGAACGACCCTACATAGGCTTTTGGTCAATTCCACTTAGCAGCTATTTTTTCAGAATATTATTTTCCAAAGTCCTTCAAACCTTGCTTATATTTAGTGTAAGTGTTCTTCAATAAATATTATATATTACACACATACACACAGAGAGATAAAATACTGGAAGAAAATCCCCGAAAAAGATAACAATGGCTGTCTTTGTATGGCAGGAATATGTGTGATTTGTTCTGCTTTATAATTCTCTGGACTTTCTAATTTTTCTTCAATGAATATTAATATGTTCAGAATTAGGAAACATTATAAAGATACATAATGACAAAGTTGCATTTAAAAAACAATTGCTGTGGCGTCCCTCGACTCCTGGTGACCCTATGTGTGTCAGAGTAGAACTGTGCTCCACTGGGTTTTCAGAGACTGATTTTTCAAAAGTAGATTGCCAAGCCTTTCTTCCAAGGCACATTTCAGTTAGCACCCAAGCATGTTAACTGTTTGCACCAGCCAGGGACTCCAAAGTTGCATTAGTATTCATATAAATATTGAATTTAAACAGGCTGCACACTTTAGAGACATATAAGGGGAAGACAAATGCTTAAACACAATTTTTGTCCTCTTGCTGAGTTTAATTATAATTTTTATCTCACAAATAAATAAAACTAACCCACCCAAAATCAGCTGTGGAGGTAGTTTTGGATTTTTTTTTTTACTCTTATTACTCAAAGTGTGGCCAGCAGACCAGCCACATCAGCACAGCACAGCACAGCCCAAGTGAAGCCAAGGCAGCTGGCCTGCAATTTGCACTTGGGTAGCAAGGATCTGGACGGACTGAGTAACTTGGCATCGAAACCCTGACAGACATATGGTGCTCTCATCTACCAGCCCCTTCCTACTGTCCTAAGCCCTACCGGTACCAGTTTCTGTCAAGTCAACCCCGACTCATGGCAACCCCATGTGTGTCAGAATATTACTGCGGTCCATAGCATTTTCAAGAGTGAGTCTTCGGAAGTAGATAACCAGGCCTTTCTTTCGAGGCATCTCTGGGTGGATTCAAACCCCCAATCCCTTTACTTGGCTGATAGGTGTTATAAAGGAACAATTTCATTGGTCCCTCAGTGTTTTTCAAAATGGAGTCCTCAAACTCCCTGCAATAGAAACATCTGTAGTGCTCATTAAAAATGTGGATTCCTGGGCCCACCCTGGACCCAGACTTAATTGTAACTTTGGAAGACTGGAGCTTGGATTCTGCACATTTAATCCACACCTGAAATTGTTCTCAAGCCTGTCAAGTTTGAGTACTACAGCTAACCCCACAGGCACCCCGCGTTTCCCCCCTCCCCTCTCCCCTCATGTGACCTCTTCTCTGCACCCCCCACCCCCCAGCTTATTCCTGCCTCTTTGCTACTAAAGCAAAGGCACAAAGGGAAATGTTATGGTCAAGAAAACCCTACCTTTGCCCCATCAGAAAAAGAAAGAAAACCAGAAGGATGTTAGACTGCCTCTTCTGGGCTTTAATCTTTTCCTTTAGAGTCAAGCATTGTTATTTTAAATTTAGCACTTAAATTTACTTAACATATTCCTAAATTTTGTATCTCAATAAAACACAGACTGTAACTCCCTACAATATTTATGATCTGACATCCATTCAGACACCCTTTTTAGAAAGGACTTTTTTCCCTAGAGCATAATAGTTCGTAAAGAGAACACAACATGGCTTTGATAAATATAGCTATTTCTTCCAGGCCATCCTGTTTAACATCGATCTACTCTCTCTAATAATTTATAAAGGGAAGTAAAGAAATCCAGATGCTGTACTAAACTGCAATGTCCTGGCTTCATTTATTCTAGTCCGTGTTCCTTAATTTTAGCTTCTTTTTCATGTAATTCAGCAGACATTTCTTGAGAATCTATGTACCAGGCATCATACAAAGCACAGAACACAAGAAGGCCAGGCCTTGATATGCTTATAAACTTGCAGGAAGGAGAAAGAGAGAGGAGAGATGAACCAACAAGTGCCGCCATTATGGGGAGCGTGTTCACAGTGCACTGAGTCTGGAAGAAGCAGTTCCTAAATCAACCTGGGGTGGAGGGAAGAATCCAACAGGCTCCTAAGAGGGGCTAGCTCTTCAGCTGGAACTTGGAGGATGGGTAGGAGTTTGCCAGGTGGACAAGGTGAGGTGAGGAGGAATGAAGAGAATCAGGAGAAACTGCATTTACAAAAGCTTAGAGGGGAGAAAGAACCTACTGGGTTTGGAGAATCACCAGGAATTTGGCAAGTGTCAAAGTCCCTGTGTGGTACGAACGGTTTGTGCTTGGCTGCTAACTGGACAGTTGGCAGTTTGAACCCACCCAGGGTACCTAGGCAGAAAGGCCTGGCAATCTGCTTCCATAAAGATTACAGCCAAGAAAATCCTATGGAGCTTAGTTCCACTGTGTCACACATGGAGTCACCATGAGTCAGAATTGACTTGACGGCAATGGGGTGGTTTGGTGTTTTGGCAAGTATCAGGTATCTGGAGAGTAGGGTACCTGGGGAAGAAAGGCTGGGAGTGAGGCCAGGCAAGGTGGCAGGCGCGACATCCAAAGGACCTTTTATAAAGCCCATCGAGGTGCTTTCAAGAATGGCTTACTATGGTTCAGAGCTCCATTTTCATTCACACTGGAATGTTTATTCAACCAATATTATGTGACTCTTTTGGCTGTAGATTGAGGGAGCATTTATCCAAGGCGTGGGACTTTATACCCTAGAAGAACTGAAATACTCCCCAGAAGGTGTGCTTTATTCTCGGCGTCCAGATGACTACAAAATCCCCACTGTCACTGCAATTCCAGAAGAGATCTATGTCACTTTGGTGCGTTCCCGAAACCCCATAGCCATCTACTCATCAAAGGTAAGAACTCAAGACCTCTTGTTTCAAAATTAAGAAAAGAGTCCCCTAGATTTGCTTACTCTTCTGAATTACAAATTCCAAAAGGAGAAGTTGTTGTTGTTAGGAGCTGTCAAGTCAGTTCCGACTCATAGCAACCCTATGTACAACAGGACAAAACACTGCCTGGTCCTGTGACATCCTTAAAATTGTTATTATGCTTGAGCCCATTATTGCAACCACTGTGTCAATCCATCTCATTGAGGGTCTTCTTTTTCTCTGACCCTCTCCTTTACCAAGCATAATGTCGTTCTCCAGGAACTGGTCCCTCCTAATAACATGTCCAAAGTACATGAGACAAAGTCTCACTATCCTCACTTCCAAGGAGCACTGTGGCTGTACTTCTTCCAAGACAGATTTGTTCATTCTTCTGGCCGTCCACAGCATATTCAATATTCTTCGCCAACATCATCATTCAAAGACATCAATTCTTCTTTGGTCTTCCTTATTCATTGTTCAGTTTTCCCATACATATAAGACAATTGTGAATACCATGGCTTGGGTCAGGCGCACCTTAGTCCTCAGAATGATACCTTTGCTTTTCAACACTTTAAAGAGGTCTTTTGCAGCAGATTTGCCCAATGCAATGCATCGTTTGATTTCTTGACTGCTGCTTCCATAGGACTTGATTGTGGATCCAGGTAAAATGAAATCCTTGACAGCTTCAATCTTTTTTCAGTTTATCATAACGTTGCTTCTTGGTCCAGTTGTGAGGATTTTTACTTTCTTTACTGTGGAGTGTAATCCGTACTAAAGGCTGTAGTCCTTGATCTTCATCAGTAAGTGTTCAAGTCCTCTTCACTTTCGATAAGCAAAGTTGTGCCATCTGCGCATCATAGGTTGTCAGTGAGTCTTTCTCCAATCCTGATGTCGCGTTCCTCTTCATATTGTCCAGTTTCTCAGATTATTTGCTCAGCACACAAACTGAATAAGTATGGTGAAAGGATACAATCCTGACACACACCTTTCCTGACTTTAAATCACGCAGTATCCCCTTGTTCTATTCGAATGACTGCTTCTTGGTCTAAGGACAGTTTCCTCATGAGCCCAATTAAGCATTCTGGAATTCCCATTCTTCACAATGTTATCTATAATTTGTTATGATCCACACAGTTGAACACCTTTGCATAGTCAGTAATACACAGGTAAACATCTTTCTGGTATTCTGTACTTTCAGCCAAGATCCATCTGACATCAGCAATGATATCCCTTGTTCCACATCCTCTTCTGAATCAGGCTTGAATTTCTGGCAGTTCCCTGTCAATGTAATGCTGTAACTGCTTTTGAATTACCTTTAGCAAAACTTTACTTGCATGTGATATTAATGATATTGTTCGATAATTTCTGCATTCTCTTGGATCACCTTTCTTTGGAATAGGCACAAATATGGATCTCTTCCAGTCGGTTGGCCAGGTAGCTGTCTTCCAAATTTCTTGGCATAGACCTCCAGCGCTGCATCCGTTTATTGAAACATCTCTACTGGTATTCTGTCAATTCCTGGAGCCTTGTTTTTTGCTAGTGTCTTCAGTGCAGCTTGGACTTCTTCCTTCAATACCATTGGTTCTCGATCATATGCTACCTCCTGAAATGGTGGAATGTCCATCAGTTCTTTCTGGTACAGTGTCTCTGTGTATCCCTTCCATCTTCTTTTGATGCTGCCTGCGTCATTCAATATTTTCCCCATAGAATCCTTCAATATTGCAACTCAAGTCTTGAATTTTTCCTTCAGTTCTTTCCTCTTGAGAAATGTCCAACATGTTCTCCCCTTTTGGTTTTCTAACTCCAGGTCTTTGCACATTTCGTTATAATACTTTACTTTGTCTTCTGGGGCTGTCCTTTGAAATCTTCTGTTTATCTCTTTTACTTCATCATTTCTTCCATTCACTTTAGCTACTCTACATTCAAGAGCAAGTTTCAGAGTCTCTTCTGACATCCATTTTGGTCTTTTCTTTCTTTCCTGTTTTTTTAATGACCTCTTGCTTTCTTCACATATGATGTCCTTAATGTCATTCCACAACTTGTCTGGTCTTCAGCCATTAGTGTTCAATGCATCAAATCTATTCTTAAGGAGGACAGAAGAAAAGAAAGCTCCTGGCAGAATGACACTCACTGACTTCAGAAAGCCTGAATCTTCACTCTTAAGAGAGAACATGCAACAAATTCAAATCAAACAAGAAGGCTTGAGGAGGAGTAGGGCATCTTGGTAAACGAGACAAAGTACCCTCATGAGATAAAACTGAAGTAGGCACATTTTATAGCTGTTTTCTGCACCTTACCCATATCTCCTCAAGACTCAAGTCTTATTCATGCTGCCCTCCCCGCCCCCTCCCTCAAATGAGAACTTGCTTTCAAGTAAGTTTCTCACTGATTATTTGCTTGGAGGTGTTAATAGCCACTGAAACCTGAGGTGTTGACCTCATGCTTCCTGGAGTCAGTGAGTTCTAAGTGGCCTGTAAAGACCCATGTCAAGGGTTCTCGAACACAAGTGTGCAAAAAATGCAGCTTCCCCAATTTAAGTTTTATTTTGAGCCTACATCTGGCCAGACAGGTGGGCAACCTTAACCTCAGGTTTTCAGGGGTTTCCTTCCTTTCCTAGGAGTAGGTCAAGTTGGGGAAGGAAGGTGAGACTTCCAGACTGAAAGACCTCTGTCTCCACTTCTGCACCAGACTTTGGCAGGGGCATCTGTAAAGGCACAGTCCTCCCTCTACCAGTCTAGCCACCTTCCTGGCAGTCTGCTCCAAATAGGGTACCAGACTCACCCTCTTCTCCTCACCTCCCTTAACATAGCTTCTCTTAGTTTCCCAGTACTGCCTGTCTTGGTCATCTAGTGCTGGTCCAACAGAACTACCACAAGTGGATGGCTTTAACAAAGAGAAATTTATTCTCTCACAGTCCAGGAGGCTTCAAGTCCAAATTCAGGGCATCAGCTCCAAGGGAAGGCTTCAAGTCCAAATTCAGGGCATCAGCTCCAAGGAAGGCTTCAAGTCCAAATTCAGGGCATCAGCTCCAAGGGAAGGCTTCAAGTCCAAATTCAGGGCATCAGCTCCAGGGGGAGGCTTTCTTTGTCTGCTCTGGAGGAAGGTCTGTGTCATCAATCTTCCCTTGTTCTGGGAGCTTCTCTGTGCAGGAACCTCAGGTCCAAAGGATGCGCTACGTTCCCGGTGCTTCTTTCTTGGTGGTATGAGGTCCCCATGTGTCTCTGCTCGCTTCTCTCTTTTATGTCTCAAAACAGATCAGATTAAGACACTTCCCAATCTTGTAAACCTCATCACTATAACCTCATCACAGTGACAGACTTTACAACACATAAGGAGATCACATATAACCTCATCATGGTGATAGAGTTTACAACACATAAGGAAATCACATCAGATTACACAATCATACAATACTGAGAATCATGACCCAGCCAAGTTGACAGATATTTTGGGGGGACACAATTCAATCCATGACACTGCCTTAACAAATACCACAGGTGGCTGCTTTAAAGAACAGAATTTCATTTCCTTACAGTCCTGGAGGCTGAACGTTCCAATTGAGGGCTTCGGTAGTACTAGTGTCTCTCTCTCTCTCTCTCTGTCAACTCTAGGGGAAGTTTCACGTCTCTTTCAGCCTCTATAGCCCTGAGCATTTCCTGACATTTGTTGGATGGATTCTTACATGGTGTCTTCCCCCTGTGTGTGATTCTCCATGTCTGTTTTGTCTTTTTATAAGACACCACTTGGAAGGAATTAGATTTAGGACCACCCTACTCCAGTATGACCTCATCAACATAACAAAAGAAAAACTCTATTTCCAAACAGGATCACATTCACAGGCACAGGGGTTAGGACTTCAACATATCTTTTTGGGAAACACAATTCAATCCATAACATAGCCTCTGAGGAAATCTCTCTCCACTGCCCCAAGGTACCATCTCTCTCTCCATATTTGCCTCAGAATAAGCTAGGCTTTTAAAAACTAAAGCCTGAGAAACCCTTTATCTGCTTTAGGCCCTTTGTCCTATCACTCCACTGAGTCAGTGGACACAGATCACAGACTAGACCACTTTGAGAGAAGAGGAAAGAAAAATCAGTGCAAAAATGTGTTGGTTAATTATGTAAAATTAATGCCACCACACAGTTAATTCCAAAGCACCCAACACAAGCCAGAGAAGTTAGCACACAAGAAAACTCTAACAGTCCACCTCTCTAGAGGCAACCACTTCACTGTCTTTCAATCTCAACTACAAAGATTATGGTTGTTTTGATTGGGTTTTGAATTAAAGACAAACGGTCAAGAACCCAAGTTGTAGTATCTCAGAGGGCACCAAGGGCTTTGGTCTTTAGGATTTTACCTGAGTGGGGAATAGGAGTTTTCAGCTTCCCAGCTATACTCATGTCCTGATGCCCGGGTGCATTTTCATGAGCTTCTCTGAGGAGGGCCCCACATTCAACTCACTCCCCTCTGAGGGTTAAAAAGCCAGAAGAGGTAAGTGTGTGTGTGTGTGTGTGTGTGTGTGTGTGTGTGTGTGTGTG